TCCACTGATTTGCTGATGAGAATTAGCTGCTTATATCGCTGTCGGCCTGTGTTTTCTCTTCCGTGATCGCTGTTATGACTCAGAGGAAGCTCATGTCACTCATATTACGCGCTCATAACCCACCCTGTCTCCGATGATGAATGTCCATTTACACTTCTGCATTCAGTTCTGTAAGAGGGTGAAGGTTATTATTTTTTTCCTTTCTACCACTCCTTCCACCCATCCCTATCTGCCTTTGGGACACACAAACAAGCTGTCCTGCTACAAACTCACTGTATTTGCTGATATAGAAATTAACATGTTTGTGCAATAGCTTTTCATAAAGTTATCATACAAATGCCTTGTAGCTGACTTGTAGATTATAGGAAAAGCTTGAAAAACCTCGGAAACATGGCTTCATTTATGAGATTCAGCTGAAGCTCTGTAAGAGTAAGAGACATTTTGGTAGCAATTAGGGATGTTAATTTTAACCTGTTGATCGGTTAACGAGCGTCGGTTAGGAAAAATAACCGAAATGAACATCCCTAGTAGCAATCACAACCCTTGTGGTCTTACCTCTGACCTTGATAAACAAACCAGAGGTGAAAGTCTTTCTGAGGTCTTTGAACGGGCCTGTTGTATGTTCCTTCTTTTCCTGAGGAGAATGATGATTCTCCCTCATCAGCAGAGAAAGATTGAGGATGTTGCCTTTGAAATGTGATCTGGGGGGTCAGTAGGGAGTATTAGAAAGGGGAAAGGTCAGAACCCGAAGGACTTGGGTGTTTAACTATTTCAGAAGTGCTTAGAGCACATTTCCTTTGGTTTCCTTGCTTCTTTTTCCCCCCTTTCACATTCTCAAATTGCTTTGGTCTTTTTTCTTCTTCTTGCTTTTCTGTAAACTCACCAGCCTGATGGGAAATGTTTTGCAGCATTAATCAGCAGTAGGTCTGTAATCTCTTTTTTATGTTTGGACCCGTGGAGCCTTGTGAAGTTTCACTGCCTGGAGTGGGTTTTGGAATCTGCGCTATTTTTACGAAGGTCACTCCATTGGCTACACCTTTGAGCCTTTGACTTTAGAGAGCAGGAAGTCATTGATTCATCACAGTATTTAGGCTATATCTCCCTTTTCCTTAGACTTTCCTCTGCTGAATTAGAAGTCTTGTAGGGTCTTTTCGGGAGCGCAATGATTTCATGTGAGTGAGGGTTTATATAAGAATGGATGTTCAATCTGTAAACATGGCATCACTCTTCTCAGTACGAATCTTAAAATAATCTTTTAATAGATTTGTTCTGTTTTGCCAGGGTTAATTAATCATAGAAGTCAGGTGAGCTGATGTGTGAAAGGTCCCGTTAAGTGTGTTTGTGTGTTTATTTAGTGATGCAAATTTGACATGCACAACCAGAGCACATAATGTCACTCAACCATCTGTAGGGTGTCAAAATGAAGAGAAAAAAAAAACTAAATGGCACCCCCATGAGAATTTCTGTTTCTCTATTTACCTTACAAATATTTATAGTTCTCTTAGGGATGCATCAATAATTGTTTAATACAACTAAATATTATGTGTTTCAACTGGTATGTTACATAATCTGCCGCAATTGATATGTTACATAATCTGAGATTTTTTTTTTTCTTTTAAATGCAATCAAAATATTTCCTCTTAGTAATATTTATATTTCTCTTTGTTACATAATCTGCCGCAATTGATATGTTACATAATCTGAGATTTTTTTTTTCTTTTAAATGCAATCAAAATATTTCCTCTTAGTAATATTTATATTTCTCTTACAAATATTTATTCATTTCTGTTAGAAATATTTATATTTCTCTTAGGGATGCATCAATAATTATTTTATATAATCAAATCATTTTTTCCCCTGAATATTATCTGCTCATTGGAGCAGATAATATAATCTGTAATGGTTGCAAGAATAAAGTAAAAATACTGTCACTCTTGCTTTTGTTGGGTGTTTGTTTATTCAAGACTTCAGAAAGTTATTGTAAAAGATTAAAAAAACACATATAGCTTCATGCTCCAAACACTTACACACCCCATATTGAGCTGATAAGGATCTGTTGAACATCTCTAGGCATTCTGTGTGTTAAGTTGAGAAGTCACAGGTCAGTTCTCACTTCCCTTCTTAACTTGACAGGGTCACATACCTGCTGTGAGGGAGCTGCGCTGCTGTCAGTCACAGGCTTCAGGCTTCATGGGTAGATGCTCTTCTTACTGTTTGAGGTGGTAGGGCAGGGCATTGTAGAACAGTCAAATTTTGGTGAAAAATGAGATCAGTGCTGTTATTTGATTATATGAGGCCGTTGTTTTGTTGAAGCAGTTTTATGGAAGTCTTTTGTTTTTACCTTTCTTTTCTAACTCTTTCTATCTCTTTGATTTGTTTATTTTTCCTTTTCTTTTTTGCTATCCTCATTTCTTTTTCTATTCCTTTTTTCCTTCTTGTTTCATTTCGTTTCTTTTCTAGAATGTCAAATAGCTCAACCACTCTTTTTGACCCAGTGCTGTTATTTGATTATATGAGGCCGTTGTTTTGTTGAAGCAGTTTTATGGAAGTCTTTTGTTTTTTCCTTTCTTTTCTAACTCTTTCTATCTCTTTGATTTGTTTATTTTTCCTTTTATTTTTTGCTATCCTCATTTCTTTTTCTATTCCTTTTTTCCTTCTTGTTTCATTTGTTTCTTTACTAGAATGTCAAATAGCTCAACCACTCTTTTTGACCCGGGTCCTCCTGAGACCTTGTGTTTATGAGTGCGTCTTGGTCTTACGTAAAAGGGCAGATGGGCCCAGCTGGACGAACTTTCTCTCTCACACTCTGTGCTCAGTAAGACAGATCCTTGGAGTAAACGGCAACGGCTGAAACACCTAGGCATTCCAGAGCACAGGGACAGGGATCACAGAGTGCAACGGATAAAGACTTAACTAAACAATTCATTGATTTACTGGAAGGTAAACACAACATATCCTCATGTGTGAGCACAGAAGGGCCATAGAGCTACAGTCCCATAGTTTAATGTATGTTGGACTGTAATATTATAGATGGATAGATGCAGAGAAGTATTTAGTAGCATTTTGTTGAAGAGGTTTACATATTTAAAGGTGGTTCGTCTTCCAGGTATTCTGACCTCAAGGATCCCACCGGTTTCAGTCTACTCTGAATTTCCTCCTTATTCTCAGCACAACCCATCACAGGTGCCCAGCTGCTGGTCTAAAAGCTCACTTAACCTATGTGTCCACTGGTGCAGAAGAAATCCCTGCAATACCACTCAAAATGCTAGAGATCTGCCACTTTGGGGGTGTCTCTGTAAATATACAGTAGCGTGGCAGTGATTGCTTATATTACATGGTCAAAAACCTGATTTAAATACATTAATTTGCAGCCATGATTGCATTAATTTGCAATAATCCATTAGAAATTACAGGATACTTTCCATTGTTTATGACAGATGTCACTGCCTTAACCTTACTGTGTTTGGTTGCCGCACATCTAATTTGCATTTGAGTGTTTCTCAATGTTTTGACACTCTCACCACGTGCTCTGCTTTGCTGTCGATCCCAACATCCCCTGCGCAAGTCTTTTACTCAGCTCCTGTAGAGAATGAATTGAAAATGCCTCTCACTCTGCTTTGCTCACTCTGCTTCAGTGGATTTGTACAGTTAGACTGTTTTCAGGTTCAGGAATAAGTGGTGGTTGTCCAAAAAGCATTCTCACTAGGGTTTTTGTGTTCTTGTTCAAGAAATGTTGCATTGTTTAATAGTTAAAAAAATTAATATTTCATTTGGGCTGAAAGGCAAACTTTAGATTATTGTTAATTTTGCTGATGCACATGTGTCTGTGTGATCCTGCGGGGAGCAATGGCCCAGGGAGCTCAGACTCAGAAGCTGCAGTGAGTCTAAATGTGTGTGTTTATGTAGTGCCTTGTGTAACCTGAAGCAAACCTAAAATACATTAAATAAAATAAAAACCGCAGGAGTACCATTACAGCTGACACTCTTGCTGCCATTAAAATCATTTCAGCACTGACAGCCAGCTCATAATCTTTTCATATTTAGACAGTCAGCCTATCACAGCGGTGGTACATCATCTAAATATTTTCTAATTCTTTTTAATTATTACATATGCAATTAACTCGCAATGACACTCATGATAAAACACTAAGTTTACAATTACAACACAGTGGTCAACTATGCATTTTGTAAAGCAAAATTGCTCACTAGAATTATCAAGTACAGTCTGGATTCGTCCCCAGAGCTGCAGGGAAGATTGTGAGCATAGGCGCTGAATGTTCATCTCCAGCAGCATGCTCACTGTGCAGACAGAGCGCGTGCTTAGATCAGATCGTGAGCTTGCCTTAGAGGTCAACATGAAGAGCATCTGATGAGAACAGATGGAGAGAGTAAACTTTAAATCAGGCCGACAAGACCAAATGTTTGTCTTGTGCACATAACAGTGATTTCAGTTCACATCATGTGCGCTCTAGCACGCTCTCTGAGCCCTCAACAGTCCTTGCATTCAATTTAGGAGTTTTCACGAAATTCACCCAAACTTTGACATGTGACTAACCTCTTGCTTTCTTTTAATTTCTTCTTGTAACACGTTTTTATTGGTAGAGAGCTATAGGAAGTAGTGGGACCGGAGTTATGAATTGACAACCCAAACTCAAACTTGCATCACTGTGGGAGCACCATATGTTTGAGGCATGTGCAGTATCACTTCACCATGGCATTAACGTTTTTGTTTTTGTTTTGGCAATGTAGTTGACTTGTGCCATGCTAAAGTTAACCTAAAACCGTTTTATACGAATTGTATGCATTTTGGATGACTTGGATGGCCATACATAGCATATTATGTATCCACTATCCTATTACTCAGTTCAAATTTTATTGTGACATTCTGTTTTGTGTGTGCTTATTGCAAACAAAATTTGTTTACTGCTCCCTGACTCATGAGAGTGATCCCAGTGAACATCAACATTTTCATTTCATTCGTTTGTGTGTCTGTGTTTCAGAACGGAGCAGTTCCAGGAGAGCCAGTAAAGAAAGATGAAAACTCCAGAAGGGGAAACTGGGGCAACCAGATTGAGTTTGTCCTCACCAGTGTTGGCTATGCAGTGGGTCTGGGAAATGTCTGGAGGTTTCCTTACCTCTGCTACAGGAATGGAGGAGGTAACCATTTTTGACGTTATCCTTCTTTTTCTAATATCTATCTTGTCTGTCTTTCTGTGTCTTTCCTGCACAGTTCAGTTAGCATTTGATAATTTCTTGCAAGATTCCTAAAATAGAATAATTTAATCATTTTCATCAGGCTGTAAGTATGAAAGTCTATGGATAAAAGTGAAAGTGAAAGTGACGTGTAGCCAAGTATGGTGTTCCATACTTGGAATTTGTGCTCTGCATTTAACCCATCCAAGTGCACACACACAGCAGTGTGTAGTGAAACACACACACACCGTGAACACACACCCGGAGCAGTGGGCAGCCATTTTTGCTGCGGCCCCCGGGTAGCAGTTGGGGGTTTGGTGCCTTGCTCAAGGGTCTCACCTCAGTCGTGGTATTGAGGGTGGAAGAGAGCGCTGTTCATTCACTCCCCCCACCTAGAATCCCTGCCGGTACCGAGACTCAAACGCGCGACCTTTGGGTTAGAAGTCCAACTCTAACCATTAGGCCACGACTGCCCCCATGTAGTTGAAAGTAAAATTGATGGTATTTATTGTTTTTGTCATACCACTGAGTCCTTTTCAAATTCTTTGCTCCCTTAAAAGGGTACTCATTTGGTATCGAGTCTCATAACACACCTCACTTAAAATAGACCAGGCTAGAGTAAGCAAGGGTCTCAAGCAGCAGGTTCCCAATGGCCTGGCCCAGAAACCTCTGCCCCATGATCTCATATTCCTAGAGCTGCCTCTAATCAGAAGCCATACCCTGAATTAGCCCAGAATTCAAATAAGTAACTGAGCTCCAGGCCCTATAAACAAGGATGGATTATGGTCCTGTAGGGCCACAGGGCACTAGCAGCTTTTTGTTTATTCATTCAACTTTATTGTACTATTTGTATGCATCTTCAATCATTCATTGCATTTCATTAGATCCATAATATTATTCAAGCAATATTCACCTATCTGCATCAGGACGAAGTGCCTTGCTTCTTGACATCAGGCTGCTGTGGGACCCCTGGCACATCAACGCCATTGCCCCAGGCCATAATTCGCCCTTGTATTCAAAACACTCAAAGCACTAAATCCACATTCTATTCCATTATGCAGATTATCAGCACAGTTGGAATGCAGCTCGTCCAATCAAATTAGATCTGTTGTGTAACATCAGGTGTTACTCACTTATTTGCATAAGCATTAGGGAACTCTATAAATGAAACCAGACCTTGGCTATTCTTTGTGTCATTTTTAAACTACTTTTGTTTCCTACCATTTATGTAAATAAGAACACCTACGTGTCTGACTTCAGCTAGAAGACTATGTGTCAGGATAAAATAATTGTTATGTAACTCTGTGGATGTGTGTGTGTGTGTGTGTCACAGGTGCCTTCATGTTCCCATACTTCATCATGCTGGTGTTTTGTGGCATCCCTCTGTTCTTCTTGGAGCTCTCCTTTGGGCAGTTTACCTCCCTCGGGTGCCTGGGAGTCTGGAAGGTCAGCCCCATGTTTAAAGGTGAGCAAGAGGCTGTTAAGGGAGGTGTGAGAACATCTAAAACATTTTCATGACAACTGAAAAGTCACAGATAAATCTATGTGGGTTGGTTTGGCCTTTAATGCATGGCATGACCTGTTTGACATGTTAAACTAGTAATTATTTTTAAACACACTCTTACAGTGTTGTATTCACCTCAGGATGGCTTGCTAGGGTGACAGGAGGTGGTCTGAGTTTGGTTTGCTTAAAATGTGCCATGTGGCAGCTAAATGAGCCAGGTTCTCATGCATCATTTCTTCAAGTCTAAATATTTATACTTGTTTATAGTTATCAGTTAATTTTTTAGTCATTGTGGCACACAAGACAAGAAGCTCATTTCACATATTTTTTTCTAATGATTTTACTTAATTTATTTGTTTATTTTTTTGTGAATATTTTGAATAAGGTTAAACAGAAAATAAACAAGATTTTTTTCCACGGACAGCTTTTCATTCATTCACTCACTCACTCAATTCATTTATTCATTCATTTTAGTTTCGTTTAGTGTGTTCTAGTATTTCTACTGCCACCAGATAATGTTTAATTCATAAAAATAAATGCCACTTACTATTTGGTATTTTTTGTACATCCTCTTGAAATTGGGAAATGCAGAATACGCTTAAATGCTTTATTTTATTGCAAAGCAATATTGAAGTATTTGTCAAAATAATCAGATTTTCATCAAGAGTTATTTACTATATCATGCAATCTTAATATGCGTTTTTGTGTTGGCTGTTGTGTTGGTTATTTTTGATGTTACATTACAGGTTTCTCAGATGAGTGTATTGCTTTCTGGGTACTTGAAAGCTAAACATCCTTCAACATACTTAATTTAATGTCCTTTGGTTGTTTTCTCTCCTTTAAGGTGTGGGTTATGGAATGATGGTGGTCTCTACCTACATTGGGATTTACTACAATGTGGTGATTTGCATTGCATTTTATTACTTCTTCATGTCCATGACAAACCTGCTGCCCTGGACGTACTGTAACAACCCCTGGAACACCCCTGACTGCACTGGAGTGATGGGCACTCCACGAACTAATGCCACCTTCGCCAATGTGTCTGCTGTTGTGTCAGGGTTGACTGAGATAGTCAACCGCACAAAAAGGACCAGTCCTAGTGAAGAGTACTGGAGGTAAGTGCATAATTATTTCAAAATAAATAATTATAGTAATTATAATTTACATATAAACAATGTATTAAGGTAAAACATATTTTTTTAAATATTATGAATTATTTAAAAAAAATAGTCTATCCAAAAAGAGTCTTCTTGGATATTTTAAAAAACTTTTAAGAGACTTATTGAAGGGGTCCTCTCTATGATGTAATTTCCTGATGTGCAGTTTTTCTACATGTTGATTGGACCACTGCAATTTGTGCAGTTTTTCTGCATGTTGATTGGACCACGTGACTTTGATAGGCCAAATATTTTTCAAATATTAATAAGCAGTGAAGTAGTTGTTAATATATAGGAAAATAATAGGAAATAATAAGGGGTATAATAATAATAAATTTATTTCTTTTAAGGACAAGACAATTGTATCAGCCTGACATTTTGACTTTATGCCCTCCAAAAATATTTAAATGAATTTTAATACAGAAATAAAAAAAAATCTCTTCATAGTAGAGGTTTATTCAGAGGTCTTTATGCATTTTTTTGTTTATTTACATAAATTAACAGGACAAAAAATAAACGTCACTGAGTTCTGTATGTTTATACACAAATATAAATGCTAGCAAGACCCAGAGAGTTGAATATCAACATAATTATATAGTCAATCCATTACTCATAATTTCTGAAGATTCATGACAGATTGATAGTTGAAAGCTTGTAATTAATAGATGTTTGCAGGAGTCATGCATATTGTCTTGATGTTTGGATCTTTGTGCACTGGACATGGCAGATGTGTTTGTTGAATGATGTTTGAACACTATGTAGGATGACATAAGACAATAGGACAGAAAGGCACAGAGTGTTTTGTTTTTCCAAGAGTGTGATTGTGATTGTATGTGGTTTGGAATTAATACTTCACTTTACTGCCTGTGGTCAGAGAATACGAGGCTTTGACCATGAGATGTTTGTGGACCGTTTAACATCTTTATAAATGGTTTGTGCTCTCTGGACTGTTGTTCCAGTGGTATGAAAGACATTCTTGTTCTTGCCTTCTGTAAACTCATTCATTGTGTGGCTAAGGTTGTTTTTGATGGGACTGTGCTCTTGAAAATTTGGATCGTTTTCATTTTTTTCCACATAATGCTTTTAAACTAAAGGCAAGCGCTGATAAAAATAAGTGTTTAGATTAGCATGATACATTTTTGAGTTAATTGTTTATGCTTTGTATTACATCCTGCAGTCTCTCACACCCCTCTTTTACTGGCTTTTGCCCTCTCAGGAACTATGTGCTGAATGTCTCTGATGGTATTGGGAACTTCGGAGAGGTGCGTCTACCTATCCTGGGCTGTCTGGCTGTGTCATGGGTAGTTGTGTTCCTCTGTCTTATTCGAGGAGTCAAGTCATCCGGCAAGGTGAGTTGAACATCCATTCCTGTGACATAAAGCAGAAATAAATTAAATTATAATATTAAATAATAAATCATGTAAATGTTAGATTAAAAAACTTAAATGAAAATGAGAAATTTTGCCTTGGCAACTAGCTGAAAAAAAGATAAGTTGAAGTACAAAAATTATTCAAACTAAACTGAAAAAAAAGCCGAATTGAAAACTGATATTAAAATGATAATTAAAATGTAAAAAGCTCATTCAAAATATTAATAAATACTATGACATATAAGTAATACTAAAATAGCACCGCTTACCATGCTAGCATGTTTGTGTGTGTGTTTCTTTTTTCTTTTGTTTTATTGAATTTTAATATTATGTCTTTTGTCAGGTGGTGTATTTCACAGCAACCTTCCCTTATGTGGTGCTGACCATTCTTTTCATCAGAGGAATCACTCTGGAGGGAGCCATCAGTGGTATCAAATACTATTTGACCCCTCAGTGGGAGAAAATTCTAGATGCCAAGGTCAGTACATTATTCAACGGCGCATACTGTAACTGATCACTGATATTATGTTAATGATAACATTTTGTGTTCTGCAGGTATGGGGGGACGCTGCCTCTCAGATTTTCTATTCGCTGGGCTGTGCCTGGGGTGGCCTTATCACCATGGCATCATATAACAAGTTCCATAATAACTGTTTTAGGTAATAAACATTGTATTCTTTTATTTTTCTGCTTCTGTTACATTTGAAAACACTTAGACTGTAAGTATAACGAGTGCTTGATGACTTGCATGCATTACTCTGTAGCACCCCCACGTGACTGGTACTGATAAATGCATGGAAGAACTTCTAACTTGTATTACCTGAAATCAAGGAAGGAATTAAAGAATTTCAGTTCAGATTGTGTTATGACTGCAGACTTAATAATAATCCAATTATTTGTCTGTTTTCAAACAGAGACAGTATCATCATCAGTGTAACAAACTGTGGTACCAGCGTGTATGCTGGCTTTGTTATTTTCTCCATCCTGGGATTCATGGCTAATCATCTGGGGGTGGATGTGTCAGAGGTGGCCGATCATGGGCCAGGCCTGGCATTTGTGGCCTACCCGGAGGCCCTAACATTGCTGCCCATATCACCGCTCTGGTCTCTGCTGTTCTTCTTTATGCTTATTTTATTGGGCCTAGGCACTCAGGTATTTTTATTTGTCCTTCTTTTCTTCACCACAAATTTCTAGATCAAAGTTGTTGTTTTTTTTATTCATTAATATTCACCATGGCTGCATTTATTAAACTAAATCTAGTAAAACAAGGAATATAGTGAAATATTGCTACAATTTAAATTAATAAAATAAATGTTTTGTATCAAAAAAAAGGTCATACTGACACCGAGCATTTCAACAGTAGTGTAATTCAGCCTGGACCACTTATAGGACTCTATTCAGACTTTATTTTAAAGATAATTTCAACATTTTGTGTATTTTTGGTCTTATAATTTTTAAGGAATTTAAGATTAAAATATGTAAATCTTCCAGCAACTGAATTTTTAGCATTCACAAGCTAACCAACAATGACTTCATTATAATATGTGACCCTGGACCACAAAACTTAAGTAGCACAGGTATATTTGTAGCAATAGCCAAAAATACATTGTATGGGTCAAAATTATCGATTTTTCTTTTATGCCAAAAATCATTAGGATATTAAGTAAAGATCATGTTCCATGAAGATATTTTGTAAATTTGCTACCGTAAATATATTAACTATTAATTAATATTAGCATTGCTAAGAACTTAATTTGGACAACTTTAAAGGCGATTTTCTCAATATTTAGATTTTTTTGCACCCTCAGACTCCAGATTTTCAAATAGTTGTATCTCGGCCAAATATTGTCCTAATAAACCATACATCAGTGGAAAGCTTATTTATTCGGCTTTCAGATGATGTACAAATCTCAATTTTGAAAAATTGGTTTTGTGGTCCAGGGTCACATATTTGCATACAGAATTGCAGTATGGCCCTGTTTGTTTGCATACTGAATTGTGATTTGTTCTTTTCTTTTTTCATCTGTTTATCTTAAAATGCTAATTATTATCAATTTCTTTTCCCTTCTCCTTTTATGTATATGTATTTATTTATTTACATTTTTACCTACAACATTATTATTTTGCTGCTTTACCATGCACTGGTATTTCTTTCAGGAAATGTCTTGTTAACTAGTAGTTCATGTAAAAAGTGACATACAATTCCTTATTTTCTTTCTGTTCATTGTTGTTGTAGTTCTGTCTGCTGGAGACTCTGGTGACGGCTGTAGTTGATGAGATTGGAACTGACTGGATTATCAAAAATAAGACCTATGTCACGCTGGGAGTCGCCATAGTAGGATTCCTCCTGGGAGTGCCGCTCACCACACAGGTGAGTTACAAAAACACACACACACACACAAACACACACGTCCTTTATCTATGGATTGATCTATTGTGCTGTGTGTGATGTAGGCAGGAATATACTGGTTGCTGCTTATGGACAACTACGCTGCCAGTTTCTCTCTGGTCGTCATCTCTTGCATCATGTGTATCTGTATAATGTATGTCTATGGTGAGTCCTCTAAGTCATTTTCTACATGCTCTATGTAAAGGCCACAGTAGCTGGATGTAAACTGAGGTGTTCATTTGAATGTCGTGTTCCCATGTAGGTCACAAGAACTATTTTAAAGATGTGGAAATGATGCTAGGCTTTCCTCCTCCGCTCTTCTTCAGGATCTGCTGGAGATATGTGTCTCCTTTCATTATTACTGTGAGTGACAGTCTGTTTTAGGTTTTTCTGATTCAAGTTTTCCATTTTCTGAATCAGATTTCTCCGTATCACTCAAACTAATCTAATCCTTTTTTGTCTCTGTCTCTTCACAGTTCATTCTGATTTTTACCGTGATACAGTACAAGCCTATTACCTACAATGACTATGTCTACCCAAGGTGGTCATTGGTCATTGGGTTTGCCATGGCTTTGTCTTCAGTCATCTGTATACCTATCTATGCTCTGTTCAAGATTGCTGTGTCTGAAGGATCCACATTTTTAGAGGTATTATGTGTTCTGCCTTAAGAGCTGAGATTAATAGACAAAGTGATTAATAATACTTTTGAAATATGTTTTAAATAATGTACGCTTACATAACTAGCCAAATACTTTATCTTGGTGTATCCACTTTATGGTGTGAACAACAACGTTAAATCAGCAAATCATTTCTACAATGTCATCGCCACCTTAAAACCGATGGCAGTGCTTCTGCACTTGTTTCAATATATTGTACCATCTACCAATGCGACATAAACAAAAAATTACTTCATTATTACTTCATCTTTAATGTTTCATTTATTCTGGATGTTTTGCACAGGCATAACTTTTTTTTTTTTTACGATTTTGGACAACCAGTGCATTCCGCCACTTATAGTATTGGAGTAAATTTCCTCTTTGTTCAGCCCATTGAATATTTGGTCTGCTTTTTATGTTTTGTTCATGGTGTAAATACAGCTAAAAAAAAGTTAATCATGGTAACAACTACTTTTTTCCTAAAAAAAAATTATAACAAAACAGTTGGTAAACTGACTCTTACCTCTGCAGCGTTTGAAGAACTCCGTGAAGCCCGACCCGGACTGGGGTCCAGCTCTCCAGGAGCACCGCAAGGGCCGATACGCCACTGCGGGCCCCGAATCTGTGGAGGTGTGCCCTCTCAAAGAAGAGCTGAAGGACGAGGGGAAAGAGAAACTCAAGGAGAAAGAGACGGAGCAAAAGGATGAGATGGGTTTGACCATCACAGGAAGCAACGGCTCCACATTAAACCCCACACCCAGCGCATAGAGGAGCCCTTCCCCACCCTCCTCCCAGGACAGTTCCCATTCCCTCACTGCGGGACAGGCCACTCTCGCTGGAGACCTTTACATATTGTAAGGGCTTTATGAAATCTAACCTCTAGAGAAATTGGTTGTCATCCAAAACCTTTTTCTTTTTGTTCGCATAATTTAATACTGCAGTTTTTTTTAAAAGACAAGAAAAAAGACATGTTCATTTACAGGAGGTGTTTGCATACACGCAGTGTGTATATAGTGCATTGTACAATATTTTCACTCTGTGTTGAGTAGTCTGGAAATGTGACTGTTGCAGCAGCAGGAGCTACAGTGGGATTTGGCTTGTGCGTGTGTATAGTGGCGGCAGTGCTGGTCAGGTTTAATAGCTGAAGACCAAATATTCTTTGTGGCGATGTTGTAATGGGGAGTGTTATTTTCAGTTTCTGTTTTATACCCATTTTCTTGTTTGGGAACCATCTCATTCACAAGACAGTATGGGTTTTTCAATGGCCAATGTTGGTGTCTGAGAGCAGGGTGGCTGATATTCAATGTAATGCCAGTATATGATATAATACATGTTAAATGACCTTTTAACACTGTATTAACTCCAGATCCACCTAAAACTACAAAACAGAACATGTCTATTATCCTTTGACTAGACTACCAGTAAATTTGGGAGCTAACACTTTCGTTAATCAGCCAAGTAAACTAGCTGATACTAATAAATAAGCATAGGCAAAGAGAATATCAACTTTATTTCCAATTAAATGAGAGCACAAATATAAAACAAAGGATATTTGGTCTTAAGCTCTTACTGACTGAGGTATCTGGACCGAGGCATATCACTTCTCAAGCCCATTCTCAGGGTTACACACAGTTTGCTTTTTTGCAAAACATTTTCCAACACCTTGAGATGATTTGTTGCTGATGTTGAGAATTGGACATGAAGGAGAGGGGTTTTCATGTAGGAACTTCCACATGAAATGCCCAATCTGTCTTGTCTTCCGGGCATCTCAAGTCGAGGCATCTCCTGAGCGAGGGGAGCATGTGTGCGATAACAGAAGCAGCTAGTTCCTCATTAGATTCAGTACTGTAGTATGCACACTAACCCCGCTCTACACGGAAAAAGAGGCATGTTACCAAAAACATGTGCACAAACCTTTGTGTTCTGATTTAGTTGGTATGTTTGTGTCTGTGTGTATTTTTTGTTGTCTGTGTTAAGAGACTTGAACTGGTGTGTATGTGTCATTTAAAGGCATCTGGCTGTGCTGAGCTGAACGGTCGTGTCATCGAACACTGAAATAAGGGGTAAGGTTGCATGTGGAATGACCAGAAGTAAACGTAGCATAAGTCAAAATCACTGTGGTTAATGGAATTTTTTCCTCGTATTGTAAAATAATGTGAAATAGACTTGCAAGACAAATAAAAGACCAAACCATCCCATTTACGCAATAGAAACCACAGAATTTGATGTTAATATGGTGCATTTTGTTTTGTTTTGGTTTTGAAGGCAATAGAGAGGGGAAGATACTGGTATGGAGAGTTATGTTCATATTTTTGGTATGGTTAGATGCCGCATGTCATTTCATTCCAGTGACATTTCAACAAGGCCCCTTTACTTACGATGCATACGGTTATAGTGGCACATGTACATGGATAAAGAGTCCTGGTTACACTGTGAATTTGTCTGGGATGTTGCCTGACTCATTTTAACAGGGAGGCTGACAATACAGCTGCTAATGTGCTGACACGTCATGTATTGAGACTTGTGATTAAACAGTGAATTTTGATAATACAAAGTCTCAGCTTTCAAATTAGCTTAATTTTAACATATCACTGTTTGCTATAGCTGCCTCAGTTTAAAATCAGCGTGAAGCACGCGTGAACCGATCAGCTCTTTTTCTTTACTACTGGTTATAGCACGAAAAAATAAATGAATCAGAAGGTATGTTGAAAGATGCAGTACAACTTACTGAATGTGTCGTCTCTCATGTAATCGTGTTTCACTCGCGAAAAGATGTGAATAAAACTGCTTGTGAACGTCACCTGACGTTACATTTACCTCAGAAAAGTAATTCAGTGTCAATTGCTCGAGGGGAAAAAAAACTTCGTAATTATAAAATCGTAAATATAAAAGTATGCTTGAATAAATCACCAGATTCTATCAAAAAATATATGCAAATTGTTTGGAATTTAGATGTCATTTTCTCAAGTTTTTGTGGCAGCGCCATTTAATTATATTTCAGCAAAGGATCATAAACAATTTTTTTTATATTTTTGAAAGCTTTCTTATATATGTTTGAGACTTTTCTTTCAGTGCATAAAACTCTAGACTCTAAACTCTGACTCAAAATGATGGAGCAGGTCACAGATAAAGTCAGTACTCAAAAACCTGATGGCATAATAGTCTACATCTTTGTGATATGTACATTTCATTAATTTCTGCATGAAGGTATGATATATATATTTTTAAGATTTTATCCAAAAATATACAAAACACAAATCTAACTTTAAGAAGTAGGGAAAAAAGAGAGAAGAATAAAAGTAACCCTACTGCCTAACAGGAGGTTCATTGGTCTTAGCACAACCTAGGGCTGGACAATAATTCAATATCAATATGTATCAGAAATTATAGAAATTAATACTTTTATTTAGCAACGATGCTTAAAATTGATCAAAAGTGATGATAAAGGCATTTATAATGTTACAACAGATTTCTATCTCAGATAAATAGTGTGCATATCGATATCGGAATTATATCGTATCGACCGAAATTAAGAAATATATCGTGATGTAAATTTTGGCCATATCGTCCAGCCCTAGCACAACCATACCTACAGGTCACGCACTCTAGCTTTTCCTCTGTTAGACAGTTAGTGCCATAGATTAGAGCAGCGGTTTAGGTGTCGGGAGGCTAACAGCACTTTTATTTACTGGTTCACTTTAGCTGGCTACGTGCGCGGTAGCTACAGTATGATTAATAATCGCTGTCGGAAATATGAATGCACAAGATTGAAGCCCTCTCATTTTTCTGATGTGTGGTCCTCAGACCTTGAAAGTGGCATGAAGACCATGTGTCTGTCTCTAGGTACTGCGATGTGAACAGATCTGGATATTGACCTTGACATGCAAACTCTTTATAACAATAGACACGTTATGCATCAGTGCCATTCTTGCACTGTTCCCCACCTCTTGTCCTCTTTCTCCATTGTACAATAATGTAAAAAAAACAAAACAAACAAAAAAACTGATGTCTATGTTTGTGTTTTCTGTTTTTATCAGGGTGGGTTGCTGTAGTGGGGTTTATTTTTAGTTGTTTTTACATTATTTCTTATGGTAACGTAGCTACTGTTATGTGTACAGAGTGTTCTGTGTAGTGGACGTTCAACTGCTGAGTCAAACCTAGTTCATGTTAGTGTCACTGTTGATGTCATATAATTTTAATCAGTATCAGTAGAGAAAGCACATTTGATTGCCTGGAAAGAATGTTTTAACACTTATGCCGATCTTTGAATATTTTCGAAATGCATTTGAAATGATCAAAACTGAATTAATATTTTCTGAATTTTATTTGGGTATATTAAGATAATGTTTCTGAGAAGAACCGAACACTTTTTAAGTGGAATTTTCTTCTAATTTGAACGGGCTCTCTATATTATATATATAAACTATATTTCACCGTTTCTTAGTGTAAATTTAATTGTGACGGCATACACTTTGAAATGACATGAAAGGGCTGTGTTTAGAACAAGCAAAACAGAAATACTAGAATTCAGTGTAAAATATGCACACAAATACCTCTTGGTCCAAGATGGAAATATCCATTAAGCACAGTTTTGTGGCTGTATTAAGAACTATAAAAAGAATCAGCATAACTGAAACTGTGAACTTTTTTGGTTAATGAAATGTTTATTCAAAACCGTGTCATGTATTTTCATGTTGTTACGGCACTTTAAAAATATGTGTTTGAAAGCAACAGAAAATACAAAATTGCAAAAAATAAAACCTTTCTCTCCCTGTCCTGCATCCTAAAAGCAATGTCTTTACAATAGTGTGCGTGTTCTTCTGTGCTCATGGCAATATAGTAGTGAAGTAGAATGACAAGCACAATGACATGAGCTTCAAACATATCTAACCATGTCTTTTCAATTTTAGGGCCAAACAGCATTGAAATTGTCTTAGTCATGTCAGCTGTAAACTGTTCAATTTGAAATGGTAAATAAAGTTTATTTTAAAGATCAGCTTGTGGTTTGTGTTTTATGGCCTTTTTCCCCCCTATGAGCTTCAACTAACTGACAGTGTAGAGCAGCATGCAGCGATTCTCACAGAGAACTGAGCAGGCTGTCAGGCTGAGGAAGACACAGGTGTCTGCTCCCCCTCTGCCCCCTGCTGGCTGTTCTCTGCACTGCAGGAGGAGCGGGCTGGAGACAGTCTAGGTCACTATTTTGAGTCACTTCCATCTTTAGGAAGAAGTCTTTTACAGATCCGGATGCTTTGACAGAGGCCGCTGGAACCAGTCTGAAGGCTGAAGCTCTTAGTGAATTTCCTCTGTACTTGCACTCTTTGTTCCCATGTTCCAAAGCAGAAATAGGGATTGTGGATTCAGCAATTGAGTAGCTCATTAGTGGCAGATCACTCCTGATGTGGTTTGGGTCTCTAGGCGGACATGGTTTAAAATGGGGGACTGTTGAGTTTGATGGTTTCGGTCCTTCCGAATAATTTGCAGAGAGAGCAAGTTTGCATGTCTCCCTATAAAAGAAAAAAAAAAAACATATATATATATATATATATATATATATAGTTCGGTCATTAAACTCTTCCGAGCAGCTGATTGGTTTACTTAAAGCCGATTGCTCATCCAATCATTTGTTTGTTCCTATCAACGTAACCTATTTATTCCTGACTTGTATTGAATCAGTTCATTGCAGCACGCCATGGGATTTCAATAACACTTTCCCATCCCCAGCAATATAAGGATCAGCTACATACAAAGACTTATTTTAGGAAGGTGATCTGACCTTGCATGGATTTGTTGGTTTCTGGCGCTCTGATTATTTGTGTTGTGGCAGCAGCTTATTAAACTCTGCTCATTCAGATCCCTCTGAATGAGTCTCCGTCATTGAAACATCATGCATTCATTTGTATGAATCCTTTTCAGGAAAAACATCTACGCAAGATTAGGGTTTAAATACACACGTGGAGCTCGAGTGACGTCCAAAACGTGACAATGAAACTAAAAAAAGGATGTTTCCATGCAACTGACTCGCTTTGTTAACTGGAACAAACGGTTGCATTGTTTGCTATGATGAAGCAGTGGATCACAGGTTTTTCTTTTCTATTTGTGTGAGATGTTTAAGGCTATTACAGTCAGACGATTGGGTGGTAATTTGGAGAAGAGGTAATAAGGTTTGGTGTTTCAATAGAAACAGCAATTAAGTGTTGGAAGAATCTGTCTCGCTCTTGGCTAAATTGCTTCGGTGTGAGGAAGGAGGAGGGTTCGGCGAGGGATGAAGAGGGCAGAATTACTTAGCCTTACTGGGAACCAAAAGAACAAAGCAATTTAGAAGAGTACAGAGGCAACATTTCAAAGGATAAATACCAGATAGCAATTGGACTGAAAGGTCAATCTACACCTCAGATTCACTCATGTGAGCGTTATATGAGCTTTAACAGAGACCGGCAAAAGAGCCGATGGGTATCAAGCTGATTGTTAATAGACAATGCTAAATTATTGGGCAGGGGACAGAAAGCTATTACCCTCACTGATATATATCGTACCTTACTACTTTGATATATATACTTTGTACTGATGAATGAAACCAAATTTGTCAAAGCACTGGTACGTGAGTTGCACAAGACATAAAAGGAGCTGTTGTGCTAACGCAGACATGGATTCATCACGTATAAACAGCAGGGTTGTGTCCTGAACCCATTCCCCCATCTCTCGCTCCACTTTCCTGTTAAATCTCCATTGTACTGGTAAAGGAAAGAGGACCCTAAATAAATAAAAAATTAACGATACATAAAATATATATAGTGTTTTAAAATATATATAGTTCAGTCATGAATCTCTTCCGAGCAGCTGATTGGTTTACTTAAAGCCGATTGCTCATCCAATCATTTGTTTGTTCCTATCAACGTAACCTATTTATTCCTGACTTGTATTGAATCAGTTCATTGCAGCACGCCATGGGATTTCAATAACACTTTCCCATCCCCAGCACTATTATATAATATAAGGATCAGCTACATACAAAGACTTATTTTAGGAAGGTGATCTGACCTTGCATGGATTTGTTGGTTTCTGGCGCTCTGATTATTTGTGTTGTGGCAGCAGCTTATTAAACTCTGCTCATTCAGATCCCTCTGAATGAGTCTCCGTTCCTCTTTGAGCTCTGAATCCAATAGAGAAAACAAAAAATCAGTAATAGGTAGTCTGCTCCACCACAAACCTTTTTATGACCACCTTGGGAAAAAAATAAATTCTATTAAAAAGAGAGAGAAATAATTCTGCTTTATTACTCCAATTAACAAGCATTCTGGTCTGAGAAGATTGACCTTTGTAGACTGAAGATTGTAATCTTGCTCAACTGACAAGTGCTTATGAAAATGGTTCTAAAACTATTTTTCTTAGCGACTACAAAATTACTGATTTATCTTAAGTTTTTTTGATGAAAGATTTCTTGTCTATACAATGAAAAGAATCTGCACATCACACACTGGTTGACAGTTTTTTTTGTTTTTTTCAGCCCAAAGGGTTAAAAAGCAAAAAGGAAAACAGTGCTTCCATGGTGAACCACTAGATGGTGGTGATACACAATTCAAAAGTCCACCACATCTGGAGAGTTCAAAGATTTATAATATGATGATTTAATGGTCATGATGTAATGTACATTAAGAAAAATTATGCAGTAAGACGGCTCAACAAATGAGACTGCAGGGCACCAGTTGACTATAACGTATGGGCAAATACTGCTCAGAACTATAGTCTTGTTTTAGTTCAGTCTGTCAATAGGCTTTTGTCTGAGACAGAATTGTGTGAAAACTGAATCCCTTTGTCAAGATTAATAATCACATACCTGCTATGGTGGGTTCAGGAGATAAAGTTTCTGGCTGAGCTCTGGCTCTCCCAGTCTCAAGGTTTTCCTGTGATAAAACCCATCAAAACAAGTCAAAGGATTTCAGCTCCCACCATGATACTTTCATTTTCTCCACTAAGTTTTAAGGCAGAGTTTGCTGGCCTTGGTTTGCTGGTTTAAGGTCTCACAGTCTGGCCTAGCTAGTGTTTAGCTGAGCACTCAGTCTCCCAGTCTGACCTGGTGAAAAAACAAACAAACAAAAAAACAAATTCCCTTCTAAAACCAGTCAACAGACCACCCTGCGAGACCAGCAAACCATCTAGGTTGGTAAAAAAATCGTTCTTTTTTTAACACAAAACAAAATGTTGAGGTTAGTAAGTTTTGTTGTTGTTGTTGTTGTTTAAAGAAATTATTTTTAATCAGCAGAGACACGTTAAATTGATCAAAAGTGACTAAATACGTTCTTTTCAACTTTCTATTTATCAAAGAATCCTGAAAACATGTACCATGGATACCAAACATACTAAGCAGCAAAACCATTTTCAACATTGACAATAATCGGAAATGTTTCCTGAGCACCAAATCAGCACATTAGAATGATTTCTGAAGGATCATGTGACATTGAAGACTGGAGTAATGATTGTTCAGCTTTACCATCACAGGAATAAATTACATTTTAAAATATAGCACAATAGAAAACATTATTTCACCAAAAAGTGAAATAATATTTCACAAATTACTGTTTATACTGTATTTTTGAACAAATGCAGCCTCTGTGAGCATAAGAGTTCTTTTGACATTAAAATATCTTACTGACTCCAAACTTTGAACAGTAGTGTATTGCATCAGTAATTGTTAAAATTCTTGTTTGATTAAAACATGAAAGCACAAAATGTTCTAGAGTTTCTGTGACTTTTGAAATCAGATTCAGAATGGAAAAAGTGACAGATTTACCAAGAAATGGTTTTGTCTTTCAGGCTTTATTATTATAGTGTGTTGTTGAAGCAGATCCAGAGCTCGCATAATGATTCCACAGCACTGCTCCACTGAGGCTGAGCTCTTAAAACTGGACTCCAAACCACATGCTTTCGCTGCAAAGCCATGGATCTCCATTAGTCCACATGTTATATGGCAGAGGAGTACTATTATTACACCAATCTGCCTACTGCCTCGGTTTATTTGGTTTATTATGAGTCACTGCTAGATCTTGTAGAGTCATGCTTGCTGTCCAGCACATGCATTATACACTCATTCTTTTAAAATGAAACAAAAACAAACAGAGCTCAGCTCTATGAGGAGAGCGCCCTCACTGACAGCGTATGGGAAACTATTCATTTTAGTCCTGTGGTCTGTGGGCAGCGGCAGTAACCCCAGAATCCAGCTGGAAAAGAAATACCAAAGCCACAGTTATGAGGCCAGTCACTGAAATCTAAGAGCAGAGAGAGGCAGAACACCCTCTGCCACACTCAGTATGGTCAAGAGTCAGATGAGCAGATGTCTGTGGGACAGGGTTATTATCGCTAACTAAAACTAAAGCTAACCATTTAAAAAAAATGTATTACTTGAAATAAACATGAACTGAAATAAAATATAAAGAAACATTTTATTTCAGCTAGTTGCCAAGGTGTATGATATTGAAGTACTAAAATAACTGAAACTAAATAAACTTAAATTCACTAAAAACCACATAGACAAAAACTAAAAATAACCAAAACACAAAAAAGGCAAACATTACAACTTTAAAATCTTTACAATTTTTTAAAATGGTTTTCTTTACACAGAAAATACAATTTTAACAAAAACTATACTAGTATCTCAACACTGCTGTGGTTAATATGTAAATATTTAAAATTAAAACAAATTAAATTCATATTTTCGTAAATTCTGGAAGTTTCAAAAAATTTATGTTTTTCAGAGTTAACACTTGGTATAAGCAATGTATTCACATACGTATTCATTTTTTACAGTTTAATTTTCCAGTCATTTATAATAATGTTTAATACTAATTTTACTCAAAAACAGAAACTGAATAAAATATTTTAGAGCCTGACATAACTCTATGGAATTATGGAAACCTTGGTCTAGTGGTTCTTGTTGCAAATATGATGTTAGTTTACATCTTGATTTTTAGCTTATTTTAAAGCTGTTTTATTATTTTAAACAATTTAAAGGACACCTATTATGCAAAATTCACGTTTACATGTTGTTTGAACATAAATGTGTGCTGGCAGTGTGTGTACACAACCACCCTATAATGATAAAAAAGTTGCAGTGTTGTGTAGCCGGTGAAACCGGAGATTTTGGTTTGTGACGTCGGAGTGCGTGCTGTTATCTCCTTTGTTTGATGTCAGATTGTACACTACTATCTCCTTTGTTTACATGAGGCGAGTCTGTGATTGGCCAACATGGCTTTACGGTTAGGGTTATATTGCCGTGTTTTTGCGTTTTCATGTGGATGATTTTTTTTCTAACGAAGGAGGAAACACTGTTTATAAAAATACCCGTGTATGTTTGGACTAGGCCTGATATGGCTTTGATATCAGTGCGATAGTCATGATAATCAAAACCAAACCAGATGTTTTGTTTTGGCAGGGTATATGAGATATTCTGGCAAAAGGGGCAGGGACAGGGAGCAGCAGATCATTTGCATTTAAAGATACATGCACGAAAACCACCTCGACGTCACTACGTCACCCACTCTACTAGCGACCACACCATCCGCTCCTCAGATTTCCTGTCGAAGAAGTCCTGTCGGTAGCGCGAGGAGCTTGGCAGCG